TTTCGCTTGATGAGTGCAGGTGGCCGGAGGCCACTTTTACTGGAAATGAGGCATTCCATCTTAGTCCTCACGGGTGACAACGCATCTACATTTTGATTTGTAATAGAGGATAGATGTAGATGTCTATGTGCCGCAGCAACCACTTACCATCAGGTTGACTGTGTGCTCGTTTGTCACCCTTATCCTATAAAAAAAAGTACCGACATTGAGGTTAGTACATTAGTAAAACTAGAGTCTCGGAAGTTTAACTTTAGTACCATAGATAATCCTTGAACTAGAAATAATCTTTGTTTTGAAACAAAACCTTTGCATGCTATACCTAGTCAGGTCATAAGTATTGTCACACAGTAAAAACTTTTTTTTTAGAATGCTGGCCACAAAAAAGTTTATTGAATTCGAATTTCGAATTGTTCATGAAAATAAAACTGTATACTTTTTAGAATTTTACTCATTTTTAAATATGGAGTGGACGCTTAAAGAAGACCGTGTTGCAGTTATTGCGTTGCATCGTTGCGGTTACGCGCTAATTCAAATTTTTGACATACTGAAAAATTTGAATATAACCAAAAGATTCGTTTATCGTACCATCAAACGATACAATGAAGACTCTAGTGTAGATGACAGGTCAAGAAGTGGTCGCTCTCGGTCTGTTAGGACTCCAGCAGTGATAAAAGCTGTAAAGTCGCGAATTCAAAGAAATCCCAAACGTAAGCAGAAATTGTTGGCCCTTCAGATGGGGTTAAGCAGAACCACGGTGAAAAGGGTGTTAAATGAAGACTTAGGGCTTCGGGCATATCGAAGAAAAATAGGACATCGTTTGAATGCTCGTCTAATGGACCTGAGACTGAAGAGATGCCGCGCTTTGTTGAAGCGGTACGCGGGAAAATAATATCGGGAAATTATTTTTTCCGATGAAAACCTTTTTACCGTAAAAGAGAGCTACAACAAACAAAATGATAAGGTGTACGCACACAGTAATGAAGAAGCGAGCAACCGTATTCCGCGTGTCCAACGAGGTCATTTTCCATCCTCGCTCATGGTATGGTTGGGAGTTTCTTATTGGGGCTTAGCAGAGGTACATCTTTATGAGAAAGGTGTAAAAACGAATGCAGTTGTGTATCAAAATACAGTCCTGATGAACCTTGTGGAACCTGTTTCTCATACCATGTTCAATAACAGGCACTGGGTATTCCAACAAGATTCGGCGCCAGCTCACAGAGCGAAGAGCACACAAAACTGACTGGCGGCGCGTGAAATCGACTTCATCCGGCACGAAGACTGGCCCTCCTCCAGTCCAGATTTGAAGCCGTTAGATTACAAGATATGGCAACACTTGGAGGAAAAGGCGTGCTCAAAGCCTCATCCCAATTTGGAGTCACTCAAGACATCCTTGATTAAGGCAGCCGCCGATATTGACATGGACCTCGTTCGTGCTGCGATAGACGACTGGCCGCGTAGATTGAAGGCCTGTATTCAAAATCACGGAGGTCATTTTGAATAAACTTTAGTGTCATAAGAATCTATGTTTTGTTAAGTTCATTTTGGTATATAAATGGTTACATAATGAATAAACTTGTTTCAATTATTTTATATTAAACATGTGACAGAATTTATGACCTGACTAGGTATATAACTGTAGCAAAACATGTTGTTCAATTGTATAATATTTGTAAAACTTTTTCATACTACGTTTTAAGCAAATAAATATATTATTATTATTATTTGTAAATACGTTTTATTTAGTCCGTGGTTTAAACCTAGCATAGTATTTAAGTCCATGTTTTGGAATAAGGCGGTACTTACATGTCTAAAAACAAGGATTTATTTGCTACAAGCGCTAAATCTAGTTCCCAAAGCGCTAAAATGGCAGTACTGATTTTTCGTATATTATAAATACAATATCACGACATTTCGTTGCAAAATTTTTATTTTTGATCGGGTTCCGTTGTATGGCTTCGATGGATACAAATTTCTTCGGTAAGTCTCAATACGATTCATCGGCGAAAAATCTCAACACAGCAATTCAGAAAAGTTTGTAATTTGTACAACTCCATCTATTACGTCCTTTGTGTGAGAAAACATCCTTTTTATATCTCTTTTTGTGTTTTAAGTATAAATATATTAATTATTATGGAACGTTTTTTTACACACAAATCTTTTTATTACTATTTCTGAGATTTTATGGCGCCATTGAACAAATTCGAACCTACATTTCAAAATAATAATCATTACTTTCGATAGAATTAACCAATTTTAATAAAACAAAGATTAAATGTAACTCGAAGATACGCTTTATGATTTTCTTAACGATTTCTTTGAAAATAAAAGATGTTTACTTTAGACGTGATGCGTTCATATAATAACAGACAAATAGACATACAGACAATTCTAAAAATTATAAAATGTTCTTATTTAATTATTTTCAGTTCCCCATAATGATTTTAGCCACCAAAATATATATACAATGTACAGAAAGAGACACAACATGTTATCATCATTTTTATTATATGTATATATTTAAAGAGAGATGGCGCTGCTAATATCAATTCTAGAAATAAAAGAGATTAATTGACGCGATTGATACATTATAAAAAACGCAAGAGAACTTATAAATCAGTGCCTGCACAGTAAGCAAAAAATAAAGTTTGACTCTCGCCAAAACCAACGCAATTGTTAATAGCTCTTTTAAAATTTGATTTACCACATAAAGTACTCGGCGGTAAAGAATAAATTGAGTTTGTCAACACGCAGTAGGGCAGCGAGTAATATAATAAAGATTAGCAGTAAATATGAAAACTCATCTACAGGAAAAAACCACATTTGCAATTGCATTACATTTTCACAACACCACCATCTATCGAAGAAATGGGTTAACTATTGTGCTTCAGATTTAGTTAATAAGGTTAATATATTTTGTATAATATATTTAATACGTTCTTTAATACTTTTGTTTACTGCGTTTTAGATATACATAATTATATCATTTTTTTACATAATTTAACTATGATTTATGATATGATATTAGTTTAAAATGCACTTGATGACTCAAACAAAGCCACCGTTGAGCAAATTCGTACCTATACTTCCCTACTCATACTTCAGAATATTTATCATAACTTTTGATGGAATGAACTGATTTTAATGAAATAAAGACTAAATGTAACCCGAAGATACACTTTATAATTTCCTTAACAATTCTTATGATATAAATTAGTACTTTATACGTGATACGTTAACAAACAAACAGACAGACAGACAGAAAATTCTAAAAATGGTAGAAATGTATTTAATTACTTATTTTTAGTACCCCTCAATCACTTTTATTACAAAAATATAAAATGTACAGACATCTGCTATTTACAGTTTTATTATATGTATAGATAAAATTTCACTTTTATCTTAACTTTTATGCCGTACTTGTGGTTGAAAATTATATATTAGTTGTATATTAAAATAATAGGCATACTTTAGTTGCCATAAACCACTCGTGTTAGTTATTGAATTTGAAAGCTTGGAATTTCTTTAATATGTAATGTAATAAGTATATCTATACATATACAAATAAATAAAATTGAAGTGTATGTCTGTAATGTCAAAATTACAGCTTTTTACTAAATGCATATGGAAGTATAAACAGTACTTATAAAAAAACTACAATTTTTTAAATTTTTGTGTGTTTGTTTCGGATAATCTCCGAAATGGTTGGACCGATGTCATAATTAGTTTTATTTTCGAAAAACAATTAGGGTTCCGCGCAAAAACATAAAACCCTAAATAACACGCTGGCGAAGTTGCAGGGAACAGCTAGAATAAAATGTAAAATATTTTTAAACTTGGTAAAAATATTATAATAAACAATAGGTAATTATTTTTGACTGTTATAATTGGTGAATTGAAAGTGCAAAATTATATTTACGGTAAATTTGTATAAGTTTTCTATCAAAAAATTGCCGCCCCAGTAAAATAACAAAACAATATAAGAACAAAATACTGAATAGTAACTAAATATATGTTATATAGGTAAAAAAAAATGGATATGAAGGCACATTGGTTCACAGAGATCATTAGTCAAACTGATATATATATAGGCTTAGACTAATGTCTAATATTCCCAAAATAATACTTTAAATTTTGTTTTTATGTGTCTTAAAATGGCGACAATTTGCTAAACAGCCTAAACGGTATTTAGAGAGTCATATAGTTTTAGCAGCTGTACTACTTATGTATGTTATGGATTATATCATAAATAGACTTAGACTTGATTTTTTGTATTTTATATTAAAGCATAATATTTTATCTTTCATTTGGCTCCATGCTATGGACGGGGGATATATTATGTATTATGTAAATAGTATATCTATAGTATTTCTACTCATGTCAAACGGGGATATAGTTCTCCCCATTGCCGTGCTTTGGCATAAGGACAAGATAATTTTATCCCTTGTCAGTGGATATAATCGGTGGATAAATTTTTGTCCCCAGACAATGATAACCGTGCAGGGATTCTCATTATCTGTTCGTGAATTGTCATCACAATCAAAATCACAGATTTAAAAAAAAAAGTTATTCATGTCTTATATTGTGCAGATAACCCCTTTCGATTTCGATATAACAGCCATCGCTTATCCTCTCAGCCAGCCCTCACCGCCAGAAAATTAATCTTAAAAGGAAAATATGCAGAAAAGTTTCGTAAATATTTTCATAATCAAGTCCTACTTACACAAAGTCCTACTAATTTCACATAATTACCACTACTAACTCCAAAGTTCAAAGGTGGACTCTAGTCCACTATAGATTTCAAGAATAGAATCATTTTCATAATAATGTTTTATTTTGAATGTGATTACTTTTATTTTTATAATGGCAGTTTCTTACAAAGTTCCAAGGGTGAAACTTGAAAAACGGTAAAAAAAGCAGGTTAGAATGAAGGTATTTCTAAATTATCAATAATTAATGACACTTGATATTGTTCAATGTGTCATCTAAACGAAACAATCAAAATGGATTGTAACCGTTACAGAATCAAAACATGTATATTAGAAAAAAACGAAACAGATTTAGTAGACTTATTAAACCGTGGATTTAACCCAAACCTTGAAGGTGGATGGCCAATAAGACTAGCAGCTCGGCATGGATTACATTCCATTGTCAAATTGCTAATCCAATATGGAGCCAATCCGCATCTTATAAGTGAAGCTGGTGAGTTTCTTTGTATTTCCTGATTAGTTTCTAGTTATATAATTACTACGATTAGGTAATAAATCTATCGTAACAAAATCAAATATATTTTAGGTGCATCTACTCTACAATTAGCGGTATATTCAGGCTCTTTTTGGAATTCGAATAAGTGGGATTTCCTTTTATCGAGCTGCGATTCATCTCAGTTAGCAGATGGTGCTGCTGTAGCAATTATATTTTACAATATAGCAGCACTTAAAAAGATTATGGAAACAGGACGATGCAATACACACATTCCAACGTCATTAACTGGTCAGGGTCATACTTATAACATAAATTAGAATTATTACATTTACTATTTTATGGGATTAGATCGTATAATTTTTACTTAAAATTTTAGGGAAAACATTAGAGGAACTAGCGAAGGGCTATAAGTTACAAAATATTCTACAGTCATCAAGAATACAGAGCAATATCAACGATATTTCACCCTTTTCTTCGCCAGGCAATACGCGACAAAACATGGCGGTATAAATAATTATTAGTATTTTTTTTCAGTTTATGCATTGTAAGTGCTACATTTCTTAAAGCAAACCAGACACTTGCGTGTAGGACTCGTGCCCTGAGGGTTCCATATGAGCATAATAATTGTGTACCCATGTTAATAGTTTATCTATTCCGGGAATTATAGGTATGATAAACGTCTAACATTGTTCTAATGAAAAGTAAGTTCCCAAGCAGCACACAAGCGTTATGAACATCAATATACCATCCCACATAGAAGTTAGAGTTCTTTTAAAAGCGTATAAGAGTGTTGAAAAGAGGTTGTATCCTTGTAAGAGTGGTTTATGAGTTATTATACTGCTCAAGCTGTATAAAGACTGTTTTTTGCGATTTAAGTAAGCTTGGAGTTCTTAATCAGAATATGAAAACTCTAGTACACAACTTTAAGTATTTTGTATTTATTATTCTTATGGTGTCATTGTATACTTTGTAAATACAGTAGTTCTATGACTTCTGTCTATGAGAATGATATAAAACAAAATAAAAATAACAATATGTAATACAACTTAAATCTGTATAAGTGACAGAATATCGCCGTTTTGCATGCGCTGCGTCTTTATATTGTGCTAGTGAACAAAATTAATGTGTTGATAACACATTAACATGTGAAAGAAAAGAAAAAGATTTGGTGCAATTAAAATATCATGTTAAATCCAAATTAAATTTATCAAATACTGTTCCCAAGACAAGGTTTGTCATCTTTTATGGGTGTCTCTAAAGAAAATTATAAGTTATGTTGAAAAAACTACTATACAGCGTAAGTAATAAAAATATCCTATTATAGAACTGATTAAAAACTAATGGCTGCATGATATAATCCATAACATACATAGTACAGCTAGTAGACTGGTAGAGAATGCCTTAGGCATTAAGTCCGCCTATATACCACATGTGTATATGAAGTTTTAAATAAATAAATAAATAAGACTATAAGACCCTCGAAATACCGTTTTAAGCTGTTTAGCAAATTGTCGCCATTTTAAGACACATAAAAACAAAATTTAAGGTATTATTTTGGGAATATTAGACATTAGTCTAAGCCTATACCATTACTTTCAGGTTGACTAATGATCTCTGTGATCCAATGTGCCTTCATATCCATTTTAATATTTTAACCTATATAACCAATATTTAGTCACTATTCAGTATTTTGTTCTTATATTGTTTTGTTATTTTACTGGCGCGGCAATTTTTTGATAGAAAACTTATACAAATTTACCGTAAATCTAATTTTGCGCTTTCAATTCACCAATTATCACCGTCAAAACTCAACTGCAATCCGAATATAATATGTAGTAATATTTTTTTTGTTTTGTTTAAAAAACGTTACCCCCACACTAGGATTTTAAATATAATGTTAAGACATTAAATGTCGCCCTCAGTCAATAAACGTTCTTTTTATTTTATATTCATTTATAATTCCGTTAAAAACCCAATTTAGAACGTTTGTCTTTAAAAGTTACTCTTTTAAAGACAAATCTCTCAAACAATATCTGTAGTATAAATAGTTTCCTTGCATACCAAATAACAGCTGTAATACAGCAGTTATACAGCCTCGTTTATGCTTATACCGTACAGCGCTACTAATGCATAAAGCTGCATAATTTGTGCCAATTTTTTACTTATAAAAACTGTATAAGCGCTTATACAGCTTTTATACAGCCAGAAAATACGGCCTCTAGTATAAAAACGATACAGCTCGTATACATCAGGGCTCGTAATAGGGTTGAAGAATTAGCTTTGCAGTGGGAAAAAATGTTATCCAATAGTCGATAAAAGTTTAAGTTACAGCCTATATATGTCCCACTGCTAGGCACAGGTCATTTCTGAAAGGGTTTAGGACAAGGAAATGTCAGTCGCGCTGCCCCAATGCGTGTTGGTGAACTTCACATGTCTCCGAAATATTTTTTTGTTCTTATTTTTCAGATATGCATGTTTCCTCACGATGTTTTTCTTCACCGCCTAGCATAGGGTTAAATCGGCACTTAAAATTGCAATTAACAATTTCATTGGAGCCGGCGGGGAATAAACCCCAGGTCGGCTCGACAGCGGTAGGACCACGCTCTCACAGAATACCAGCGTAAAATAGCAGCTTAATGCTGCTGTGTTTCGTATGGTGAGTGTAGAGAACCGGAGACCTTTTTTACTGGAAACGAGGCATTCCTTCTTTGTCCTCAGGGGTGACAGCGCATTTGCATTTTGATTCTTAATCGAGGATAAATATGTCTATGGGCCTCAGTATCCACTTACCATCAGGTGGACTGTGTGCTCGTTTGTCACCCATATTCTATTTAAAAACGACGGTAAGTAGTGCCAAAGAAGTCGGACGCCTAGTGTTACTTAGATGTCACATCTGGATGGTCCACTTTCTACAGCGTAACGATTAGGATAAATGTTTCTTTAGTATGGGATACTTTCTTGTCCAGCTCTGAACTGTGTACGGGCTGATAAAGAGATAAGATATATGTACCTTCTGAATATGTATAATACCATAGCAATATTCCTTGTAAGTTTATTCATTTGATATAATTTGTATCATATTAATAAAACTTAAGCCTGTCTAAATATATAGATAAATTTTATTACAGGATTTAAGAACTACATTGACGCCTCCACCGGCCCACAGGAATTTATCACCTTCTGTCGCCAGATTCTTCGATCAAACCGCAACTCAAACGTCTCTTACTCCACCACGAAATAATATCGTACCGACGTTTTTACCTTTCACTGACCTATAACGAATGTGTATGTGAATTGAAAAATAGAACTTTTATTTTTTGACAGTTAGTTTAGCAAAGTAACAGCATTCAATGTACTTTTAAACATTTCGATATAGTAACATAAAACATTCTAATAATTCTCAAAATTTCCCTTTAGGTAAATATTAAGTAATTATTAGGTAGATTAAACGATATCTGTACTCTTTAACCTCGGCACTTTGAGGACGAAAATAGTATCTTTTAAATATCTTGTGATCAATTATGATTTTACAGTTACCTTGGCAACTAATAGCTCTGCCGGATTTCGATAAGTTTAATCACACGAGTAATAAATATTTATTAAAGATGGGGAGAATTCCATTGAGTGCTACGATTAATCAAAATCCAAAAGTAGTTTTCGGTATTATTAAGAAACGTCTACACAATCTAATTACTAACTGGAGTGGTAGCTGTAGCATGTAACTGATATTTAACTTTTCGTTCTTGAAGGCAAATCTCATTCGCTTTAAAATTTGAAATTCATTCATTATTTTCCATTAGATTAACTGGACTTTTAACTTTTGACCTTAGGTCAAATACAATCAAATTCTATACAAACATAATTACGGCGAATTTAAAATTAACTTTGATATCTAAATGAAGTAATCCTTCAAGTGGAACTCATTCATTGAGGTTAATTAAGAAATTTCGAGGAGCGCTTGAGATTGCAATTACGAATCCTACTGTCTAAAGGTCTGTCATAAAATTTTTCAAGGTCTCATTTGATTTGGAATCAAGATAGGTTCCGAGGAGTTATTAATAATATTTATATTTTTTTTATATAGAATACGGTGACAAACGAGCACACAGTCCACCTGATGGTAAGTGGTTGCTGTGGCCCATAGACATCTACATTTTATTGAATTTTATAATGAATTGTACTGTTTAACTAAAGTTGCGGAATTTAAAAAAAAACAACACATTTTTTGACGTTCTTAAAGCTCACGGGCTTTCGGGTCGCAACACACTCATTTTAGTAGTGGTTATAATCTGTTCATTTTAGCATGAGAGTTTTCTATTTATTTTGTTTTTATATACTTAAACAAATGACAAATTGGATTTTTTTTGAGGAATAATTAACAGATAATCAGAATACAATTTACAAAAGCCGCGGTAGTTTAGGTGCATAGCGCTCGCCATAAATTTTATTACGAAATGTCTGAAAAAAAAATAAAGACGTGAAATCCGCCGACACGCACCGGGGAAACGCGTTGGCCATTTCTTTGCCCTAAAAGCCTCTTAAAAATGAGTGTAGGATTATGCCTAGAAGCGGGAGGTATATAGGTTGTATTTTAATAACTAAGTAGTAGATATTCATTATTATCGAAATCTTGAATTTGTACTTTTAGAATACATTTGCAAATAAAAAGGAAAATATTTAAACAAGTCATTCAAAATACAAATTCAAGTCTTCGAAAATAATGAATATCTACTAGTCATTAAAATACTAGACTAAAATAATGGGTTGTGAACGACTACAAGGGTCGAAAAGTAACATGTTAAAGCGAACAAATTTCTATGTGATTGACATGATGTCGCACATTATATTCAACATTTAGCTAATCTATTATTTAAACTGAGCTACATTTTATTTAAACTGAGATGATTAATATATCGAAACCTCACCAAGAAATATTCTGATGAGCAGGGTAATATGGAGATAAAATTAGCCTACGTTGAAAATTAAAGTTTTAAGATATTAAAATGAACTATAAAAATTGTAAAATACACTTTTAATAGGTAATGTCAAGTTTTGTGTGAGTTTCTCAGAAGATATAGGTAGTTCTTAAGTCTGAATAAATAAATAAAATTTTTTTTGTATTTTGGTTTATTATAGGTAGGTACTTCTTTCATTATCAAAATTGTGGTTAATATTTATAGAATAATAGTAAATTCTTTGTAATATCACAGACAGTCTTAGCTTAAGTACGGTGAGAAAATGTTTTTATTTACTTTAAATCTCGTGTTAAAGTAAACCATGGTAGGTATGGTAATGTTTTTAAAATATACTCTCAATATTACAATTGACGTATTAGCAAATAATGATTAAATGAAATTATTATCTAATTAGTTAAATATGTAAATAATTTAAGAATTATTAATTTAAGTGCATGTTGGCAATTTATGACATTTTAATAAAGCCATATTATTAATCATATTTTTGGCCTTTTTATTCCAACGTTACTCTTTATCGAAGACGGCGAGGTGTTGATTGCTGGGTTGGAGTGCAAAGACTGACAGTTTGTGTTTCCTTATATGTTTCATTCATATCCTGCAAAATATTTAAGAATATAAAATAACTTAACTGTATACTACATAATATATAACTTAATTTTAAATGTACCTAATATCCAATGATTATAACTACAGCCCATCACAACGCCACCGCTTAACATAGGCTTCCCCTTATCATAAAGTACGGTCCTGAGCCACCTGCATCAGGGATGAAATACGCAGGTATACCCTGCGTATTTCATCCCGTCGTCACTTCATCCAGTGGAGGATCACTCAAAATTATGCTTGGCAGTTCGAGGCTGTCACTATAGTATGTAACGGAAATGCAGTGGTGAGATGTTTTGGGGATATTACGTCACCCTGTCTTACACCTCCCTGCGGTTGGAGAGGTTTGCTGCTGGTGCCGTATTTGGATAGACATGGTAGCGTTACTGTACAATCACATGAGCACCTCCATATACTGACTGTCAAGTTGGCACCGCTGAAGAGACTGTAGTGGACCAAAATTTCTGCTCCGATGTATGTGTGGTGATTGTAATAAAGCTGTTTCGGAAACTCGAGTTGTTCGAGAGGCTGGAAGTCGTCGAGTTTGTGGAAAGATTCATAACTACTTCCAAAAACAGGACAAGGAAATCTAACTGTTATACTTAAATAATTTTTTATCTCTATCTCTACGTAGTATAAAACAAATAAGTTGCTTGCCACCGTCTGTACGCTTAAATCTTTTAAACTAAGCTACTGATTTTAATGAAATTTTTTGTGTGTGTTTGAATGGGTCCCTAGGTATTTAGGTTAAAATTTGGACCCGTTAGGTGGCGCTGTTGTCGAGATCCCGATATCACCCGTGCGAAGCCGGGGCGGATCGCTAGTAAAGAATATGACTATCACACTTTCACACTTTTGTTCTATAGCGTTTACGTCTCTAGCGTAGCACCACCGTGAAGGACGGAATTAAATGATTTCTGAGAGACTAAGTATTGGTTTACCACCCGCTTTGCTGTGTTTATAATTGAACGTTTAGCGTAAACTTGTTTTAACAAACTTTATCTATAAAAGTATCAAAGATGTACTCTATTAACTCGATTCATATATTTTAAAAGTAGCTAAATAAATAAATACGTAAAAATTGCAATGGAAACACTTACTTCGTATCCGTTAAAGTCTCTTTCTTGGTTGATTAATGTCAATGGAATTCCAAGAAATTGAGACATCTTACTTTTCAGACAATTTAAAAATCTTGCGAGTACAGTTGCCTAAAACAGAATAATAATATAATGAAGTTCATAAAAAGAAGTACCTACAAAGTTAAAAAAAACCATTATTGATTTTTTTTACTTAGAATTAAATTGTTTCGATTATAAAATTAAAAAAATAACAAAATTTAAGTAATAGCAAAAAAGACGATTTTTCTAGCATTACTTGGTAGTAAGCTATCGCGCTTTTGTTTGTAATATACAAAATCAGCTTTCTCCAAGTACGTTCCTAGTCAATAAATTAACGGCTTATGGGTTTTTGTTGTTTATTCTTTTTAAGAAACTATAGAAGTTCCTTCTGTACCAAGAAGGCGTTTTAAATTCGTAACTCTTGCTAGAGAGTAGTGTATTCACTGTATTCTTTGATTTGCACATGGGCAAACTCCCAGGCCTGGAACAATTCTTTGTAAGCTATACAAATTGCTGTTTGGTGCGGGATTTGAATCTGCGCTCCACTGCCGGGAACTTTTAACTTACAACGAGATCTCATTTTTTAGAACTTTTGTCAGATATCCGACGGCAAAATATTTGGGTTTGTGATCTAAAGCCTCACTGGATATTCGGTAAGCATCCGCTTAATTTGATATAGAGAATTTCTAGATAAAGCCGTACTTTTTGAAAATACGTACCTCAGTAGATTTTGGCAATGGCGTAATGATGGGAAAATTAGACGTCAAGCATATTTTTGGATAAGTCAATGGCTCCCCACGCCAAAATCGAACTGCATAATAAGCATATTCCTCTTCAGGTAAACGATAACCATGCTTTAAAATGGAAGGAAATATTTTAAAACTCATAAAGAATTAAACTAAATAAAAAAAATTATCACAGATTACCCGGTAAGTGAATAACACTAGTAGTTAAGAATAATTAATAACATTTGTTCAATAGCAATCTATGTATGAAAACATATAAATAAAGTGTCAGTCTGTAATATTAAAATTGCTGCCTTTTATTAAACTCAGGAAGTTGTTTGCATATTATATGAGCAATTATTTTTAAAATATAGTCTGTCTGTCTGTCTTGGCTGTCAAGGGCTGAACTAAGGTTTGTTCGAAAAACGTGGAGGTTATTTTTTGTAAAACCAAAAAGCTTTTAAAATAAATGAATGGAAGTGATATGAAAAAAGTTTCAGACAAAACTTTTTTTTGTAATTTTTCTAAAAAAGGTTCTCACATTTTATCTTAGTTATGTATAGCTTTTAAAAATTTGATATAAAATAGATTTTTGATTTTACTTCGATATCATTTTATAACAAAAGTATGAGTTAAAGTGATAAGATCTTTTTACGTAAATTTAATAGATATTCAATTTTTATTTTTATTATTTCCCCATATCGCTCATACTTTTCGAGATATAGCAAAAAACTAAGTAAATAGTGATTTAACAATAACTAAACTATTTGCCTAAAGACCACTAACATAGATGTAGGTTTTTAGGTAGTTCTACGTGGTTGAAGTAACACAAAAGCTAGTGTAATAGAAATAAAGATCAACTCACAATGTTTTTCCAATGTCGTCGTAAATCCTTGTAACACCTGAAGTTACCTGATTCGGGCAACGTTTCATAATACTCCTCGACCACAGCTTTGTTCAAACTAATTAAAATTTAAAAGGTTACCTTTGAAGTCAATTATATTAAAAAAAGAAACAGAGGCAACCATAAGGACTGCCGACAGAAGTGAAAACACAATGATATATGCGTAACATGTACACAGGCCGCTATACTACGTGTCGTAAGTTGCGTATCTATAAGTTTCCCCCCCCCCCCACCAAAAATCGCTTAAGGCGGCTAAAGAAATTTTCACTTCAAAAAGAAACAATAACCTGAAAATGTGCGCCGTTATAAATTATTAAAAAGCTGCAAACCTTGGTAGTACTCTGACACAGTCGCTGGGTTTGTATTTGTTATCAGATTTCATCAAAGTAATTTTAACAGGCTTTAATTCGAGTACAGTTGACGAATCTGAAAACCCATGCAATATCATGTATTTATAACGCTTTGAATCTCTGGATTATAATTATATTTGGAAGGAAAGACTAGAAATAATTGGAAGTAAAAACTTTAGAAATGAGTTGGGGGGGTGACTCGAACATTATCTTTTTTTTGTGCACTCCTAAAGAATAGAAGGTGTTCAGAGAGCCTTTACAAGACACCTTGCCTTCATATGTAGTGGAATTTCACATAGGTGTCTCTACGAACAACGATTGGCATTTTTTGAAATACCTTCCCTGAATAGTTGGAGAAAAATTCACGGCCTGCTGGTATTATATAAAATAGTAAACGGTCGGACTGCCATACATTATCCCTCGTCGTCCAATAACAAAACTTGTTACACACTCCTCAATCCAGGACTAACATGGGGTCATACGCCCCGGTACCGTGAATGTGTGACACCTATAATTCACTCTGTGGTGTGTTGCCTACTGTCTATATTTTTCATGATACTTTACCTAAATATAGGAAAAAAGGAATAGATCACTATTATAAATAATTTGTGAATGATTTAATTATAATCTAATATCCATTTTCCCTACAGCTGTTGCTTAGTTATGTGCATGTTTTTATTGTCTTGGTTATACATTATCTTTAAGTATTATTTTTTGTGACATCTTTCTTTATAAGCTATTGTAGCTCTCCCCTGTCTTAATCTTTATAGTATTTTGTAATGTTGTGTCACCTATAAGGATGCACACATCAGTCCCTAGATTAAGCCCACTTTCAATAAAATGTAATAATGTGTGCACTGATGAATAAATAAATAAACTTTAGGTTAGTAGTCTAGCCAGTTTGAATAACCTATCATGTAGAGGATGTCATGGTGGTCATGGTTGAAAAGGGGCAAAAAGTTCTCATTACACTCCCAGGGGGTCAAAATGGCCAAAAACCAAAAAACTAAAAATTCTTATTTCGGCTATAACTCCGCCTCCTTCGGAGGTTCTTACACAGTGTTTACTTCCTGCATCCCACTAGATAATGACGTTGTAATCTTTGTGAATTTGAGTAAGAATGAAAAAAACTTCAAGCAACGCTCTTACCGTTAATGGAAATATTATATTTAATTCCTTCTTGAGGTCCGAATGCCGTCAAAAAATCTCTATTATTTATAAGATAATCATAACCCAACGTATTCCATATTGGTGCAACTCTTGCAATCAATGTGTACTGGTAGCACATCAAAAAGGTTTCTGGTGTTACTTTCCTTATGGACCCTTCCTTAAGATTAAAGCATGAAAAAAATTATTTTAATTTGAACCAGCAACAAAGAAACTTTATTTAGATTTATACATACTTGTTTAAGACAAAATTTCAAAAATAACGAAGTTAAACGATCATAGTCATCGCTTAAGGTGTTAATAATTATATGAACTTGCTTAACTTCTTTTTTATCAGGGCAAGCTAAGAACGAAGAATTTGAGAATATTATCATTCTGTAAAAAAATAGTTTTATTTAACTTTAACAATTAACTGGGTTTCATTAGCTGTCATCAACATTTATACCTGCACTTCAAAATTTTCCAGTGGTAATCAGACGGAGCTGATCGGTCATGCTTATCGCTTAAGTTAGCAGTAGCTACGACATGACCTATATTATTAAAATTAGGGTTTTCAATATAAAATTTATGAAATGACTGCATTTTGCACTTAAAATAATATTTCGTGCAATTAAACCGAGTAATTTAGAAGCTCACAAGAATTTTAGAATAATTATTTTCGCGCCAATAGTATGTGAGCCAATGAAGGCAGGCAAAGGTCTTAGAGAATACAGCCTAGGTTGATGTGTCACATTGCATAATTTTTTATGAACTTTCACAACCCAGCGAACTGTTGATACAATAGATCTTATTTCGCCTAAGCGGATAAAAAACTTAAAATGTACACCGTTTTCACTTCTGATTATTTATCACCAGCATTATTTTTCACCAGCCGGTTAGTGACCGTCAGTACGGTTTCCGTCGGGGCCGCTCAGCCGGTGACCTTTTAGTTTACCTGAGTCATCGATGGGCGGAGGAAATAGAGTCCAAAAACTTATTAAAAAGTCTAAAAAGGAAGGGCCTGGCCGTTAATTTGAACATTGCGAAGGCCTTCGATCGGGTTTGGCACAAAGCCCTTCTTTCGAAGCTAGCTTCCTATGGGCTTTCCGAGAAATTGTGCAATTGGATCACCAGTTTTCTTGCAAATCGGAGCATCAAGATAGTAGAAGGTGCAAGCTCCGATTACAAGCCTATTAATGCTGGTGTTCCACAAGGCTGCAAGGCGTGCAAACTTTCTTGTTCTTGTTCAAAACCAGTAACATTCATTGCCATTCGGATGACAGCACTGGTGATGCTTTTTACAATGGCTGTGTGTGTGTGCAGTGTGAACATTTCTCGCGAAAACGTTGTCGAATACCGGAACACACTAGTGTATGAAGTCGAGTCTTTTTTGAAGAATCCCCAGTTGACACAAGTTTGCGAGTTTATCATTAAAAAGAACCCCTTTGTCGTATCGCCTCAATTTCAGGGCACTCCCCTAGTTGCCTCTTCTCGTCGTTGTTGCGTCGTCACTTGGAAGGAAAGGCTAAATTGGCTAGCTTGGCGTGCTCAGCGAAGAGCGGGACAGTATTTCATGTCAGCACACAGCTTGCAACTTTACAAGGCAAAGGTTCGGCTCCCCAGTTCTAGCTCCTTCCATCGCATCTAGCACAGAGCGGCTCGAATCGCCGTCGACCGAGTCATCTCCGATCGGCTGGATTTACTGGCGCTGCGAAGAGATGTTGTATATCTTTACATTTTCTATCGCCTTTACCACGGGGAGTGCTCTGAAGAATTGTTCGGATTAATTTCAGCCGCCAAATTTCACCAAAGCATAACACATACGCACGTTACCATCCACTTTATCTGGATGCTTGGCGGTCCACTACTGCGCGTTTTACTAGGAGTTTTCTTCCTCGCGCGACTTCGTTGTGGAATCGTTTACCACCGGCAAGTTTTTCGTACCGATACAACTTAGGGACGTTACGAACTTACTCATTTTAGGCCCGCAATGCACGTGCAATTTCCCTGATGTTATAGTTGTTCATGGGCGGCGGTAGACACTTACCATCAGGAGAGTGAGACGCATGCTTGTTTGCTCCCACTTTTTACATTTTTGTGTTAAACTACTTTTGCTGCAAATATACATGTGTTTCATTCGTATTTATTGTGTTAGTGAGCCACGAGATCGTAACCGAGGTGACAGATGTGGAAGACATGTGCGAACACAAGTCCAGGAAGTGGTACGTGGTCGTGGTCTGGTCGTAGCCGTGGATGTGGTTCTTGGGGCGTTAAAAGGCATCGAGCATAGAGAAGTAAGAATTTAATTTTTTTAATCCCGGGAATACTTTATATTTATTTTTCTTTTGTAAGTTTAGTGGTTTTAATGACTACTACTGATCATGTTATCTTAGGTTCGAATCCCGGTTTGGGACAAAATCAGTTATTGAGGTTTTATGTTAATAAATACTATATAATTTTATGGCAATAAGCATGAAATGAAGAAAAACGCGCTTGGGCCCCGTAGGTAGTACTACATGAAGTATGTCATCTGCAGATATTATTATATTATTATGACTATATTACTAGTAAGTTGATTTTTATTTTTATTAGTTGTCCATTGTCGCCCAATATTGCTGCACCACCACTACCTGTCGCCCCATCCGTGCAAGAAAGCACATCTCGACCACCAGTTGCTTCGAATGGAGAACCACTTTCTTTAGCGTTTCCACCATCTCCTGGAATGTATGTTGCTTACTTTTCTATTTATCTACGTTCATCGTCATAATTTCTCAACCCACATCTACCACTACTCTCTCCACTATTCTCTGTAGCGCTAATCGGTGTATATCTTACTATAGAATCAACAAGTGACTAAGCTGATTTTGTGTTTTGTTTTTTTTTTTAATTTTCTTTAATCTATGTATTTATATAATGACAGTTAAATAAATGTTGTTGGTTATTTTGATAAAAGAAAAAGACATAAATATAGGTAGCAGCTTAGTGAATTTTAATCGGACACCAGAACAGTTTTTTTTTAAATCTTTTACTAAACAGTGAACATTTTCATAATAATAAAAATATCTAAAAAGCTCGTTTAAAGACCTACATTGCAAATTTGAGTTTACAGAGTTACAAATGCACTATATAGAAGTCGACATTGTGTTTGTTTGGGGGATTTCCCGAAAGGTCAAACTTGTACGGTGAGGTTTGTGGTGTGATTTTGTTTTGTTTCATAGAAATTATTTAAGATAATAGAAGTGTTAACGTGTTCGTTTATTAATCATTGTATTAAATTGAAAGTTACATATTTACGTGGTTCTCAAAAAAGAAAAAAGGTTGTAGCTCAAAAAGAAATAACCAAAAAACTTCCTAAGCTCACATCATTTTTTAAGGTTGAAGAAACAAATACGCCGACTAATTCTTCACCGTCATCACTTCAAGATCGAAATACTTCTGAATATCAACTTGAAAAATATAATACGTGTGACAACAAGACCATCACATATCAGATGCTGAAAACCCGCAAGCGTTAAAAAAAACTAGATAATTAACTATAAACATTTTTATGCGTAAATTGATGAATGGTGAGTCTAGAAAGAAAATGGTTCCTTTACTCACCGTCGAAGAAATCTGTCTATTGATATTGCTGCCGTCTATTTAATGTTACTAAAAACACAGCTACAAATACAAATATTTGCAATGAGTTTATTAATTTAATGGGACAGCAAGTTTTAAAAATAAGTGTCAACTAACCTTTATCGTTAGATACGTAAAAGACGGAGAGCCTATTGAGAGATTTTTGCAGTTTTTGCCTATGGATAAACATTGTGCAGAATGTATAGCAAATATCGTTTTAAACTTTTTGAAAGCCATGATAATTTTTTCTGAAGCTTTGTCCTCAATTGCAAGTGACATCAATCAACCAAGAGAAACAAGAAACCAAGCCCAAAGCCTAGGAAAAAAGGGGAGAAATTGAATACTATACTTTTAACGGAACAATTTTTTGGGAATTATGAACAAAACTAGCTTAAGTTAATAGAACTATGACCATGGACGTTGCAACAAAACTTTACGCATCTCTGTAATAAAAAGTATAAGTCTAAAAGAAAAAGAATTCGCAGCACACGCGTTATTTTTTTTTTTGAAGGATTGTCTGAGACTGTACAGTTAAATGGCAAAAGAAAAATTTTGTTTGTTCCTTGTAATCGATACATTAAAATTTACATACGTTTAAGTTTTCTTTGTCAATTAATAACAATCGATTCTGATGAGTTGACGAAAAATGCAATGAATTTGAAGAATCCTATCATAAAGACAATAATGCATATGAGCTCATATCAGAATATTTTTATTTAGGGCAGTATTTAAAGAACATAGCAAAGGAATCTGTGGATTTGAATATGAAATTGAATTTGAAGGTAAGGCTGAGTTACATAAAATAATAAACGATGATAAATTAGAAGAAACTATTTCTTTGCTTGATGGTTACCAATTTTAGTGGAGAGCGCTCATATTCATACCTAAAGAGGATAAAAAATTAATTACGAACAACTATGTTACAACAACAACTAACAAATTAGTCAATAATTATGTGTATATAAAGTGATATCCTTCAAAAAATAGACTTTGAAGATATAATAGCAGATTTTGCACAACAGAAATCCCGAAAGAAACCACTGTCTTACGACATTATACCATTACTGGTAACCAATTCAAAACACCAACATACTTAAGTAATTAATACCAATTAACTATAATAAATATAAGATCAAATAGCAGAAAAGTGTTTTTGTCATTCACTTTTTTTACTTTCCATCAATTAAATTATGCCGACGACATGGTGCTGCTGAGTTTTGCTAAGTGTTTGTGAAACATTCGTGGCCGAACATGAGGTGAAATACAACATACAAAAAGTCAGTATATTATGATCTTTGGGGCCTATTAAATTTAACGGTGTACTATTAAGAAGGGTGGACTCTTAAATATTTGAGTCATATGGTTACGTCCGACCTCCGGGATAATACTGACATAGGCTCTGTCGGTTCCGGCAAATATAATTAGGGTTAAACTCACTCTACGTGCATTATCCCCTCGTCCGTCACGGCACTTTTACGCGACTAAGCGCATCTGTCACGCCACTTCTGAGGGAACTCGCGCGATCGCGACACGTTTTTTTTATAGGATAAGGGTGACAAACGAGCACGCAGACCACCAGATGGTAAGTGGTTGCTGTGGCCCATAGACATCTACATTTATCCTCGATTACGAATCAAAATGCAGATGCGTTGTTACCCGTGAAGACTAAGATGGAATGCCTCGTTTCCAGTAAAAAGTGTCTCCGGTTCTCTACATTCACCATACGAAACACAGCTGCATCAAGCTGCTATTTTACGTTGGTATTCTGTGAGAGCGTGGTCCTTCCCCGGTCGAGCCGATCCATTCGTGCTACAACTATACCAGAAATATAGCTGCAGCATGGCTCTACCACGTACAAAACGTGTGATTAAATTGACGATTTCTCTAAAGTTTTGTATGAGAGCTATATATAAAACTTACGTCGTTGGAATTGTTATGAAATAAGCTAACTAATTACATACGAATCAGGACAGTTTTATTTTGTA